CTGTGTTTGCTATATTTTAAGTTATTGTTTTGCTTGTTTTTTATGATTTTACCCCTGGTGGGTGGGGTAACCCGCCTGTCCATATAATCTCTCATTGTAATTTGATCACGTTTCCACGATAAGTGGGGTGATCCGCTACATTTTACGTCACCGATCTGGGGTCCTCCACTTTCATGTAAACAGGTCCTAATTCTTCTTTTATTTGTCACGAGTATGGTGTATTTAACCCTTTCAGTCCCGATAGTGACCAACATTAATTTTCTCATAACAATATCCAGTAATTGTCAAGAGATACAGAGAATTAACAAATGATCAGCAAAGAGAAAATACCTTGATCTGTTATTAAATTCTCTCAACTGATTTTTTTAGGAAATGTATGGAGATCAGTTTACAGAGTTTGTATGTTGATATTGGGACTTATAGGGTTAATGGCTAAGTTTTGTAATGGCTAAATTTAGACTTGGATAAACATAGCTTGTTCCTCCAAAATTTAGAGTCGAAAAAGCGCTTAGAATGAAAGAATGCTATAGAATAAGACGTAGTATTTAAGGCTGATGCGCTGCTAACAATTCCTTTTGCATGAAAGGTGCTAATAAACACTCTTCTTATTGAAACAGAGAGTGTTGTGCTTTTTAAAGTTAGGCGCGTAACTGCTGCACGATTTATCGCGCATTCAACTTTTTTTCGAGATATAATCGAACTTATACTTCCCAGGAGTACATGCTGGAAGCGAAATTGTGTACAAGCTGTATTTTCTCGACGTCCCTTTTGGAAGGATCTGACACAACAGCAGAGCATTAATCCATTTATTCCGGCCCAGAAATACGAAAAAACTGCGTAAGTTGTAGGATCCCCAGTCGGTTTCTCGCTGTTACAGATTTTTTAAATGATTTTACACTGAGTAGATACCCTCTGACCCCGCTTTAAGCCCCAACAGTAATACTAGAAGAAGAATCCAGATAAGTCTCTAAAGACAATGCGGAGCTCCAGCGCGCGCTATGCGAGAAATTGTGGTTGTCACATGGACGTCCGTACGACCGTCCGTAACGCATATTATTCTACAAAAGAACGAGAGCGTATTCTCAATTTCATGTGTAAGCACAAGGGACTTACACGGGTGGCCACATCACAGTGAATTCATACCTGTCAAGTTGAATATCCGCTGACCATTATTATCAAGATTATCAAGTGTGGGCGGTGTGGGTAGGAAATGTCTAATCGGTGGCAAACACCCTGATTTAAAGCCAATCTTGATATCTTTTGCGTAATTCCTTGTTCATCTCAAACCATGCAGTAATGCTTTGCCTTGTCTTCAGTTTTGTCACGTCCGAGATTAACAGCAGCCATCTTATAAACAACCCCAGAAACAATAACTTTGGGAACAAAGTTATATCAAAATTGGTTTTAATCTACATTCATAAAGAGAACGGGCCCGGATATGTAAAAGATAGGTAAGTTGTCGACAAAATGTCAGCTTCAGAAAAAAATGCAAACAATAATAATAATGCCTCGCAGGGATCAGCGATTACTGCGAATAGCATGGCGTTTTCGTAATCAATCAACTATCATTTGAAACTAACAACGTAAGTGGCAAATTGGAATCTGAGAGCCCTACAGAGTCCAGCTTTTATCAAAAGCCCCAACAAGATGGGGGCAACTAATTACGGTTAACAACTGGACGTTTTTCAGCGCTCACGTCAACCGGAAATGTACTTTTTGCACATTTAAGCCTTAATTTTGAACAAACTTTTAGGCAAATAGTCTCTATGAGAATAAAGATACTTAGCCATACAAATTTGGTGGCGTCAAGGTATATTAAAAGCGAAAAAAGCTCATTTCCGGTTGACGTGCGTCGCTAGAAAACGTTGCTGCTTAACCTGCCTATTTTCTACCATTCGCCACTTGAGAAACGAGAAGGAAACTGAGCCGAGTTAGCTTTTGCAAAGACTTGCGGGATCGCTACTGGGGACGCGCCGGTCAGTTATTGGCCAGTGTATTCTATGTCTCCAGTAACAGACCCAAAAGTCTTTGCGAAAGTTAATTTCTCATTTTTTAAGTGGTGAATGATGATTTACCGTACTCTTGTTGCCGACACGTCACTGTAAACGAGATTCTTTTATATGTTTAAAATTTGGTTGTCAAAAAATACATAATTTTCACATTTTTCTACCACTTTTCTTGTGTCATCAATTACTAATGATCACAGAAAAGAATATTTTTTTACCTATACCCTTTAAGTGATCGTTATTTTATAAACTTTTAGTGCGATTTTGTCAATTTAAAATTTGCCGCGATTGGAAAACATTACTACAAATAAGATGGAAATCAATTGTGCCAGTAAAGCTTAATATTATTTCAATATTATTTTAATATTAATTTGTGATTTCCCATTAAAAAATAATTTCTAACCAAACCATCAAGCATTCAATTACCTAGTGAGTTAGGAAGATTTCTTAAGATCATTTAATAGTTTAGCTAATATGGCGTACGTATCTCTTCCATTTTTCAGTCGAGACTCCGCGTACTGGATAAGACTTGCCTGCAGGCTCAACACTCTCTGTCTGTTGTACCGACTCAACTGTAAGACGCAAAAGTTATCATCAGCGAAATGAAGCCACCACACCTGGAGCCCCACTTATTAGTTTCAATAAATGGAAAAGCGGCTGTTATTAAAACCGCAGAAGCCAAGCCTTTATTTCTTAACAATGACCTCCCGTTCCACTCAGTGGTAGGCATAAATAGATTGTGCTCGGCAACTTTTGAGCAACTTTTAGCGTTTTGAGCAACTCTTTGTAGTACCAGCAACCTAGGGCAACTTTTGCCTTCCTTGGCAACTTTTGACCAACAAATTGATATAAAACCGAACCAAACCATAAAAGGTCGTTTCATTTCGAAGGATTTCATTAAAACTGGTTTTATCAAAACTGATTTTATGTTTTTTTTATGTTTTTATGTTTTTGTTTTTTTTTAACTGATTTTATTTCATAGTATTTATATTTGTCATATAACAATGCCTTTTGGCCTCTTTTAATGATTGTAAGAATATTTAATGAAAATGTTTAAATGGCAACAAATAAACAAACACGTTTTGAGTATTTATCTAAAACAAAACGATTCTAGAGAGCAAGCAACTTTTCTAAATTTTGGTGGCAACTTTTTGATATTTGAGCAACTTTAGAGCAACTTTTGGGTATATTGTGAAGCAACTTTTCCTGAATTTACTAGCAGAATCTATTCATGCCTACTCAGTGGCCACAATAATGATTTGCTGGTTCTAAAACAATGGAAAGGCGCATCAAACCGGATAAAGCCTTCGCTCCTTGGCCATCTTAAGAAAAAAGCCCGCGCGCTACACGCTCGGTCATTATTTTCAGAAAAGGTCAAGGAAGCGAAAGATGGCCTCTGCTGGCAGGGTGTGGTCGCCTCGCTTGAGCAACTGCGTTTTTGAGTGATGGACGTCGACCGGAAGTGGACTTTTTGCATCACTGGGCAGTGGGTTGGTTGAAAGTCTCAGGTAAATCGTCTTTATAACAGAAAAGAAAGTTAGCAATACAAATGTGTTTGCCTCAAGGCAAATAAAAAGGGAAAAGGCCTCACTTCCGGTTGACGTGCATCGCTCCGAAATGTCTTTGCTTAAGCTTCCTATTGTGACGATCCGGACCTTCAATTTATATGGAAACCACGCTTAACCCTTTAAGCACAAGAGTAGTCCACTTAATAGTTTGGGTCGACCTAGATAGGTATTAAGTTCGGCACATGTAAAGTTCGACGTTTGAACCGGGCCTTAGAAGTAACGTCTTCACTGCCGTCGCCATGAAGGTTGCTTAGGTTCCCTCTACCCGCCAATAGCCTATTAGTTCTTCAATGCTTTCGGTGTCTTTCCACCATTTTATTAAACGCACTGAACCGCTACCCCGCAAATATAAGGAGATTCGAGCTCTCTGCACATGACTGCTCAACTCCGTCACAAAATGTTTACTAAACCTCACCTCTTTCTTAGAAACTTCAGAAATATTAGTGAAGGCTTCTTCAGCCTCTTCTTTAGCTTTCTGGAGCTGAAAAAACATATTAACATAACCAGACCAATGTTATATGCGGATTTTGACATATCAGAAAACAAAAAGAAAAAATGACTAAATAGACGCCATTGACAATTAAAAGAGAGAATGTAGAGAAACTTGGGTTTTCATAATAATCCTCGTTACGAAGCACTGGGAATTCAGAAATCCTAAAGAAAAGCTTTTACGCATATAGTATTCTTAACAGAGGCTTATTCGTCCACAGATATTAACTTTACATCGCGAATAATGCACTTACTGCTTCTTGATTCTTTGGTTTTGCTTTCTCCAGTGCTTTTGTAGCATTCTCAAATTCCACCATCTTGTAGGTTCGTCGGAAAAGCATCTCCTATAGTTGGAAACGGGATCAAAACAATTGCTGAGAGTTTTGAGCCAAGAGAAGTCACAAAGTATCTCATTTATTCATGAGATTTCACTCAAGTTTTTTGGACTATTATTTCTTATTTCAATAAATTGTTGCTGCTGTGTTACCCACCCTCGCCGCTTCCATGTATCTTGAATAAAGTTCTAAGGTAAAACCTAAAGTGTTGTCATCATTCGTGGACATAACATCCAATGACTCCTAAAACAAAGGAAAAATAAAACGCCAAACGTTTTAATGCAAAATTCAGGAAACTTCACGAGGAAATAACAATGAACAAGAAATCAAGTTGACTGATCTACTTTGCCTCGACCCTGTGCGGCTTTTTTCCAGGCCTTCACGGTCAATGCATTTCGGTGACGTATCCGAGACGAACGGACCACGTGACCCGAAACGCACAAGCTTCGTAATAATAAGACCTGGGGACCAAGCTATTAAAGACGTACCTTCACACCATTAAGTGAACTTGAAAAGGTGCCAAAGTTTCTGCAAAATAACGTAAACGACCAGGAGACACGGTTACAAGAGAAAGACTTTAAGAAAGAGAAAAAAGAATAGTTTCTTGAATAAGTATTCCTTATCATAAACTTGCTTTTGGCTCTTCTTCTTTCGTGGTATTATTACTGAGGCAAAGAGGAATCTGGGTACAAGATTGTGGGGGAGACTCTGGAATGTCTAACACAAATCAATTTAATATACGAAAAAGTCTCTCACCCTTTTAATTCCTTTGTGCTGTTGTCGTCGATAGCAGATGCAGTCATTACCGCGCCACTAAAATCAGCCACAGCTAAAGCAACTCCTAAAAACACATTATTATTATTATTATTATTATTATTATTATTATTATTATTATTATTATTATTATTATTATTATTATTATTATTATTATTATTATTACAGAGTTTATTAAATGCAAAATTTTCTTCTTATTCCCGACATTGTATTTCCCCTTATCAAGCAAAATTCAATCATGCTAAAACCCCATGTAGACTTTCTGGATAAATTTAGGTTTCTGGGAAACTGCCCTTCCTACCCCTCCCATAAGCTAGCATTAACACTTACTTCTAACTTAGGGCAAAATGATGACTTAGGGGAGGGGTAGGTGGGAAGTTTCCCAGAGACCTAAATTGATCTGACCTTTTTTTTTCTCGTCACGCAACAACCGTCATTCGCTTGAGAGGAACACGTAACGAGCCCAAACAACGTTTGCGTAGATTAAGGCTTCACTTAAATATAATCGAATGGTCGATCACTTGATAGAACGTAATATATACAGCTCCACCAAAAAAAAAAAAGATTCGATGAGAGGTCGCAAAACTAATGATCTTGAGTGGTCAATTTTTGTCCCATTTCCAGTTGCCGTTTATTTATATTCGTTTCGTCCCTGGTACCTACATTTATCACACGGTAGACATCAGTAACTTATGAATGAATTTAAAAACATCTCCACAATGTTGTTGTCACATCTAAACTTTGAGCGCCCAGCAAATGTAGATATTACTTTCCGGCGCTACTCAACTATTTTAACTAACATTAATAATTTAACAAAAGGAACTGAAATTCCTCTTAGTAACACTTTTACAATTTACGTTAAGTTAACAATATAGAATGCTAAAAAAGTTTGGAATACTTATGATGGTGCAAGCTTAATGGGATGTCTAAGCATTGCTCATTTATAGCTCTTACAGATACCAGCTAATTAAAGGAGTTTTATTGATGGTGTGAGCTTAATCGGATGTCTAAGCATTGCTCATTGACAGCAGCTCTTACAGATGCCAGCAACTTAAAGGAGTTTTAATGATTGCGTGAGCTTAATCGGATGTCTAAACATTGCTCATTGACAGCTCTCACAGATGCCAGCTACTAAATGGGGTTTTAAAATCATTACATTTGACTTACGTTGCTGACTGTGCACCATTTTGATGAAGTTCTACAAGAAGAAATTTGTGGAGAAAATAGCAGGGATAAAAATCACATCCACTGAAGAAAATACACCCTGTACCTTTGTTCAAAGACTAATTACTAGAGGTAATTATTGTTTACAGATCCGCGTTCGTCATTCATGGAAACGAAATCGAGTCAGAAGGCGTCCAGTTTCCTGGACGAGATGCCCCTGATTAGTAGGGGCGGCTAATCGGCAGTCGCCTGCGATACCTCGACAATTTGTGGCTTTGTACCACAGGAACACCAAGATTAGGGTGCGTTCAGTGGGTGTTTCTTAGTGTTGTGGAAACCATTGTTGGTTAGGCATTGTGTTGCAGTGTGGGTATTGTTAGTGTCTTTTCAATCTATTGTGTTACGTTATTAGGTGATTGCACAAATCCACCATACCAAAGAACAATTGCAATACAATTGTCTTCCCCATAAGCTTTGTAAGAGCCTTTTACAAAAACCAGTCAGACAGTTACCGAATGGAGTGTAGTCCAACTGTAAAAATATCACTAGAGAGGAAAAGAACACAGATGCAAGTACCCTAGGCTATTGTACGTGAATGTTTTCAAAGGTGAAAAAACGCTAAAACTCTCTTGGATTGTGGTGCATGACAATAATGAGAAGGGGACAGATGCAGGAAAGAACCCAAGGGAGACAGCCGAGAAACTACAGACATTTTCTCAGTGTTTACCCAACTGATCACATTTTTTCTTCTCATTAATCTTCCTCTGCTTTCAAAATAAGAGAATAGAACTGGATTATTGTGCTTCCAATAGGTGCTATCCTCCCACCCATACGTTCTTAGGGCTTTGTTCCATACCCCAACCACCCCCCTCCCCCCTCTCGTCATGAAAGTAGGAACACCTGACAAAGACCCAACAATGTCTGCATGGGAGGTTACATAAATAAAGGCCAATGGTGAAAAGAATCAGCTACTCAGCTACTTCGCTAACAGAGGTTGGCTAATTTTTCCTAAATTAAACTGCTGATGTTATCATTTGGACACTAATATTTTTTTCTCACCCCATAAGTTTCTTTAGTCAAAGGTGTGTATTGCTCCACAAAATCTCTTTTCTTCTGGAATTCATCATCAACATCCTAAAACAATAATGACAAGTACCAACAAATAAGTGAGTTTCATAATACTTCCAATTTCCTTAAAAAGCCAACTTCAGACGCAGACTTTTTTTCCAGTTGAAGGGTTTCCTGTAAAAAAAGGCGCTTGTGACTTTTTAGGTTGACTTTCATTTTTTGCAGGATCAAGCTAATTTTTGGCAGACTGATTTGTTTTGACACAATGACATTGTTTAATGAGGAAACTTCAAGAGGTTGTTAATGCAGTATGTACACGGGCACTGATAACTTCGGGAAATAAATTGGAAATATTACTTAAGTCAAGAATAATAACCATACCTTGTGATTGTGATGCCTTAAGTCACTAACAGATTTGGACAAACTTTCCATCACACCTTTCTTGACTTTGGTTCTAACTGGAGGCTATTAAAAGAACAAGTTATTGACCATACATAAACATAAAAGGAACTGCAACTCTTAAAAACAAATGAGTATAAACTACTGTAGTCAATAAGCTATCGAGATGAATAAGTTGCACTTTATGACAATCCAACTAGCCCCCAACATATATATTACACATACTCGTTATATCATACAATCTTCAGTGATAAAAGATTAACCGGAATGAAACACTGTTTTTCATACCAAGGTTTGTCCAACACATGCCCAGCATACATGCACCAGAATAAGAGAAAACAAGTCATGAAAGACTCCTTAGAATTATATTTTAAAGCATAAATCATGTTTTGTCATTTGTTTGTATCTTCAGTTAAGAAGTTGTCCTACTAAGTAAATGCAGTATTGGATCCCCAAACTAAACAATTCCTTGGATATATACAGTCAAACTACTCGGAGTGAAGAGAAAGTCACTTTTACAGCTTGCTATTCACCCAAGTTGCAGTAACAATACACACCAAAAATCCTTGAAACACCCACGCATTCTCCTTTCCCTCTGCAATGTTGAGATGTGATTGCAAAGTTACGTGGCTACAACACATTGCAAAAGGGAGGGAGGAAATGAAAGAGAGTAGAATTTTACAAAGTGTTTCAAGGTTTTTGTCTGAGATTGTAGCATGCACCAACCCAAAAGTCATTTCAACTAGCCTAAAATTTTTTTTTGATGAGCAGGATTGATAACTGTTCTTCAGTGATTAAAATCCCCCAAAAACCTTCAAATCATTTGCCTTCGGGCAAGTGAATAACAGAATTCCCTAGCCTAATAGCAAAATCCACTAGCCCTGGGCTACTGGACACTATTTTCTTTGCACACTCCTACTCCACAGAAGCCATCTCAGAGATGGAGGAAACTGCTGCCCTTGGAATGTTCAGTCAATAAATTGTAATAAATATTTATTTTACCATGGTACAAAAAGGTGCAGAATATATAATCATTGCAACAAGACTCAAAACCAACAATGATTACTTTCAAAGTCATAACTCACATTTTCCTCTTTTAGAAATTTTTGCAGATCCTCATCTTTTGAGAAGGCAGGGTGTGCAATAACAAGTTGTAAAAATCTAAAGGACAATACCACAGAAATATGAGAATAATGCATGTGGCTGTGAGACATGTAACTTATACAAGCAACCTAAAAACTGGAGGAACTTAAAAAAAAAAATTAAGCATTTCACAGATACGAACCGTATAAGCCCGGTTTCCGAGATCTCACCTTCCCTCTTAATCCTTTGTAAAAATTTAAATGTGTTCATATGAGAGGGTGGGCTGGCTGGGTTCCCAAGATCTTGGTAAGCGGGCTAGAAATTTTGCCATGATATGAACAATTCAGCCGGCTTAACAGGATGAAAGTGGGATGAATTCTGGCGGTCCGGATGGCATCATCTTGCATTTCCTGCTGTATTTTCCACGTCATAAGCAACCCATTTAACTGCACTGATACAGCTTTAAGAGTTCCCGAAGCTATGATAGGTGCAAAATTTAAAATTTTTGTGTTTCATCATGTTTGTTTTGTGTCCCGGCAAATTTGGTGCCAAAACTCATCCCCAGTATCTTTGGCTTTTTCTCATCTCAGAAACCGGGCTGAAATTTCTCAAATGAAACCAAGGCGAATTTCATCGAACACTGACCAGGCCAGCTTGGTTAGCCACGTGCATGTGAAGAGGCCAAAAGTCAAATGGTGGGTAAGACATGCTATGCACAGATTCCTGGGACAAGTACATGTAGAAAAACTGCCAGGCAAGTACCACTACAAAAATAAATCGGGGACAGGGGCTAGGCTGACTACCTGTAATGGCAGGGGTGGGGTGGCTGGGAAAAAGAAAGGAAATCTCCAGATTGAAGACATGTTGAACTTACTTCTCAAGATTACGACAGTCCCTTGAAAATTCATCAGCCACCATGTGTTTTGCATCTTTTCCTGAAAATAGGAAACAAAAATTTACACATTCTTTGAGCTAGTATTAACAGGTTGGTTAGCCATTTCCTAAGGATGACTGCTACACACATGTTTGGCTGTATTTAGAGTGTTTCTTTCGGAGGAACACAGACTTCTCCTACCTAGCTGTTTCTTTGACCTGGCTTCAGCAGCATTGACTGTAGTGACAGGCTTTGGAGGTAACGGAGGAATCTGGATATGACAACAAAAGGTAACATCATATTATTAATAGTGCACACTAGAAATGAGTTCCACATCAACGAAAACGTGATCTGTGCAGAACCTAATGCTAAAGATGGATAAAATGATACTATTAATCACCTAAAGCATTCTACAGGTCAACTGAACTAGAAGAACTGCTTGATTGAAAATCATTGATAGGGAAACTCATAAGTGAATCCTTTTACACAGCAATACCGATTCAAATAATTCTTGATTGATCATTATGTTGGGAATGTGCAGCCTAGCCTAACCTGTTAGTTAACTTACAACAACTCCATCAATGTTATTGTGTGCCATTAAACAGTGATACAGCCATTCTAAATCTTCATATTGTCGAAGGACTATCACTCCTTTTTCTTCTTCACTTCCAGTTCCTTCACCCTATAAATTAAAATAGCAAAATGGTTGTTAACCCGTCAGCTCTAAAGACAGTGATTGCCCAGGGACAAGGCCAAGGTCTCAAACTAGCTCCCCAAGAAGAAACTGGAGATTTTACACTAAATGTTCTTTTACTGAATAACTTTTCCAATCCTGATAATAAATAGTGTCTGGTTTTTTCTTGAAACACAGAAGACATGATTGTGACTGAAACACTGTGGCCTGAAAGCCAATTACCTTTGAGATGCAATCTTACAGGGAAAAATAAACACTTCTTATTGATCTGCTGGAGTGTATTTTAAACAAAGTATTAGAAGAAAAGTATAGAAGTATCTTGGAGAGCACCACTAACAATATTAATAATCAATATTGAACTAGCTATAGACCATCCATATAGAACAGCTTTGCTCTATAATTATTTCAGAGTTAAGCTGTTCAATATGAACATAAAGCCTAATAATCAAGTTTACAATAACAAGCAGTTATTTTCTTGTGGGTTTTATGAATAAATCATTTCAAGGTGGATAATCTCACTGGAAAATTAAGTAGTAATTTATATGGAAAAACTGTGAACAAGAACACTGTCAACAAGTTGCAGAGAATATTAGAAACAAGAGGGCAACAACAACCTGGAACTGTGAATTCAGAATTCACATGGCATTTATTCTCTGGTTGATAACATCTGCTGGAATTTATGCGAAAGCTAGATGCATTTAAACCAGCTTAGAGAGCCCTACCCACCCTGCAATTGAAGGGGTGGACTAGTACATTCAAGGGACTGCTCTGTGAGCTGCCAATGGTGATCAGAATCTAATTTCTCCTAAGAATAGGAGTATTTAGTGAAAAATGAGGGCCATGAGAATAAAAAAACTGATAATTAAGAATAAAAAGCCTCTTCTTTCTAACACCATGCCTCAATATGTGAAGAATAGTGGCGAGAGTAAGGATTAAAGATTTGGAGGCTAAAGGGGAGGGGGAGGGGGCGGAAAGATCTCCGTGGTACGTGCGTAAAACAAGATGCGAAACAATGACATGCAAATACGAAAGCAATAACGATTACATGCAAATTTAATGTATGAGGTCTGAAAAGTTCAGATAACTTTCAATTTCTACGATGATTGAATTCCACCTAAACCGGAGCTGAGTTGTGTATCCCCCCTCAAACAAAATTGCTGAAATATCGATTGCATTGATCTTAATTTGCTGCAAACATGGCTAAACAGGATGCGCTTGCAGGAGATTAAAAGGCGTCGCATGTAGCTGAAGTTTGTACACTCACAGTGTTTGTTTGAATCGTAAATTTGACGATCTCGCCATCTTTGCTTGCGTCTAAAACCTTGACAGTCCAGCACAGTCCCTGCTCCGCTTTGCCATTGACACCATTTTCCGCCTGAAAATATATAAATAAATTTAAGAAACTCTCAAGTTATCAATCAAAATAGCTATGATTTATTTCGGAAAAATCTCGCTTACCATTTGAAGTCATTAACTCATGGAAACTGCCTAGGATCTTTTGGTCATTTGATCCTGAAACTGAGCATCCAGGCCAGGACATTTCATTACCACGATATGAGACACAATTTGCCATTTCTCCCGACCGCTGGATGAATCTTCCTGCCACTGCACAGGTTCCCCAAGCTCCTTCGAGAGAGGCCAAAGGTACGATTACATTGCGTAACCAGGGCTTTAATTAGAGTGGGGACCTCAAGGATCAGGAAAGTATTAGAGACCTTAAGTGCAAACGGACGCAACAACTCCCTACATTGTTACATGTAGCACCCGACAATGTTGGGAGTTTTTGGCCAACAATGTTGCGTCCGTTTGCACGGGGCTTAACTTTACATTCGAATACAAGTAGGCAATCTTTCAAATTGCTCCTTCCACGCGCGCATGCCCAAAACAAGACATTGGCGGAAAAAGTCGACTAGTTTTGCGAGAAAAATTGTGGTGGTGGTAAGTTTAAATGTTCTCAAATAAGTGACATAAATTAAAAGCCTTATGGCTTATCCTATTTTTTCTTGCTTATAACAAGGGTTATTAAATTGTAAAAGCACTATCTTTTTCCTTATACTCTTGTGTATCGCTGAAAATTGCAGCAAAATTGACGCGCAGGTTCGAGGGCAGTCTGAATACCCCCCAAAAAGAGCACAGCTGCTAATAAACAGGGTGGATAGTGGTCAAACAGTCCATAACTGATGGCATGTATACTGAGTGTTGTCCTAACTCTTTTTACGATTTACCACACAGGGTAATGTTACAAGCACTTCATTACATTAAATCTTCCCTTAATTTGGTATAGCGAATTAAAACATCAGGATGGTCGGTCAAAGAGGCCTCTTTAACGATAACCCGCCGTACAACGCGGCAATGTAGTCATCGTCTTAGGCGTTTTTTTTTTCGTCTTATTCCGCCGGCAAGTTCATTTATTGTGAAGTAGAGACGAGCAAGGATTCAAATTATAATTAATTTAAATTTGTTTTAATTTTTTACCTAAAAATCACGATCTGAGCATTTTAAAAACTTTACGCCCCAGAAAAAATAAAGGCAAAGAAGAGTCTGCACTTCCGTTTTTTAAAACTTGTAATTAGTTCCAGTTGTTCGAAGGTCGATTAGCGCTAACCCGGGGTTAAATTTTGACCCTTTTTTTTTTCTTTTATTCGAAAGCATTTCCTCGGATAATTTTATCTATTTTTTGGAGATCATCCAATCATCATATTGTAGAAAAAAATAATTAAACTGAATTTGCTTTTTAAGCTGTCAAATCTGAATTCTAATTTCGCACTAACCCTGGGTTATCTTAACCAAGCTTTGAACAACTCGGCCCTGTTTTTTAGTAGCCTGTTTGAAAAATTTCAGTCAA